CACCATCTCAGGAAACTGAGATTTCTATCCTCTCTTCCTTTAGAGGGAGGCCAGGCACAGTCACTGAAACCATAGTATTCAACTTTGAAGTCCTCTCTTAACTTGGTGAATTCTATTTTCTCGAACATTAAACAACCCTTGCATTCTTCCCTTACATTCTTGTTGGTTCTGTTGTGTTATTTTGTTTACTATGTCTCTGTTTAAAATTTAACACAGAAGACTGGAGCGATGGCTCAGTGGTTATGAATACATGCTATGGGTTTATTAGGACCACAATTCTGATCCCAGCATCCACATAATAAGCTGTGTGTCCCATACATACCTAGAACTTCAGCTCCAAGGCAGGTGAAGATAGGAGGATGCCCGGGACTTGTTGACTTCCAGCCTAGCTGAGAAAACATGAGCCCCTGGTGCAGGGAGAGATCCTGCCTCAAAAGACTAGGTGGAGAGGATTAGAGGAAGACAGCTGGCACCCTCTTCTGGCCTCCAATCAAATGTACAGGTGCAACTACCTCACAACATGCACATACACTAACACAGACATATACACACTTGTGGTCACTGCCAGCGGCAGCCACTCCTCCGTTCTCACGGGTGCCGCTCCTCCATTCTCATGGGCATCGAGGCTGCTCCTCCTCTCACCCTGGGCTGAGGCCGCTCTTCTGCCTGCCCTGGGTTGAGGCCACTCTTCTGCTCACCAGGTGCTGAGGTAGCTCTTCTGCTCACCTTGTGCTGCCTCCTGTCATCACTACTTCTGCCTGGTCCCAGACCCCAGGGCTGGTGAAGAGACTGTGTCAGCAGAGCCACATTCAGACACAGGAGACCAGGTTCAGTGACACAGGTCTGCTTTATTGCAGGAAGGTACAAGCTTATATAGGGTTGGTCGTCCAATCAAAGGACAGCAAGTAGGGTATCTTATTAGCATCATCCTATTAGCATAACAGACTTAACGTCCTATCACAGAATAGAGGGTAGGATGCCTCATTAGCATACTGGGTTTCAGATTACAGAGCCTGGATTCCTGGAAACCATGTGACCCTGACAGTTGCAATATCACCCTGTCTCCCACACTGCTTGATGAATTTTGGATAAAGACTACATTCTAGGAATTCAAACTTGCCTAAAAACAAAGTTTTTATTTTCCCACTAATAGAAGTATCCAAGCAGTACCTGGAATACTTTTAAGAATGTTAAAATGTAGAGACCATATACGGTATAGACCACTTAACTAGAAGAATTTGGGGGTGGAGTATGGGGGATCAAATCAGGGGCCTTGTGCATGCTAGGAAGCCCCAGTCCCTAATGGCTTCTCTGACCTGCAGCATCAGCACCACCTGGAATAGAATTATAAACAGGGTCTTGTACTGTGCCTCGCCATACTAAAACAGACTTTGTTTTAACAAAATTTCTGTACACGGGGTATGCACATTACAGTTAGAGAAAGGTCTAATGTATCACCTAATTCCAGCATTTTGTGGTAAAAGTGGCCAGAAAATTCAAGGGGAAGACCAGGGGTTGAGTGTGATACCACCCGTTAGATTCCCTGAATCCACCCACACTTTATCTGCTGACTACAGAGATCCCACAGTCCTTTGACACAGCTCCCCCCTTTTATTCTGTTTATAATTCCATTTTTTTTCTAGATATTTCCATATCAGCATTATATTTCACTTAGTTATTTTGAGACAGGGTCTCACTATATAGCCCTGGCTGGCCTGGAATTTATGATGAACCTCCAGCTCTGCTCAGGAGTGCTGGGATTACTAAAGCTGTGAGACACCATGCCTGGCTCAGCATATTCTTAATTGTGGCCTTACGGTCATGTAGCAAGCAATAGGGTCATTTTTGCTATACAAAAACTTGAATGTATTGCAGTCCAATTGATATTTAGGGAAGTATCTAAGCATAATGCAAATTTCACTTTTGCCTATGTGTGATTTTCTTTGCAAGAAATGCTACTTGTCTGGGGAAAGCTGCAGCTTACTGAACTAAGCCACAGAGTCCACAAGCTGCACACTTTACTCATCTTCCAGCTGCATTAGGGGCCACACCCAAGAGCAAGATGGGTGTTTTGAATGAAATGGTTTTGCTCCTTAGGAAATTTTGGATCCACCCAATTTGCATCTCCCTTAGTCAACTAAATACCTGCATCTCTTTTCTGGATAACTAATCCCAAAAACCTTTGAACAGCAAAATCGTAAGTATTGGAGACATTTAAAACCTCTCAAATACAGGCGATCACATTTCTTGCTGACATTAGAAAGATTCTTTTTTCTGAACATTTTATGGGGGAGGATCTGATTAAAAAAAGTAGGAAAAAAAAAAAAGTGATAAACCAAGCTGCCAGGAGGTGGCGCTTAGCACACAGCGGGATTCAGCGGGATGAAGCCGCTGAGAGTCTTCCTAGGAAGAGAGGTACTCAAACACCTTGGCAACTTCAGGGCAGTGGGCAGGCATAGCAGAGGGCCAGCAGCAAACCAAGAAACTGAGGAGCAATCCTCTCTCCACTAACTCCTCACTGTAAGCAACTGCTTTTCTTCTTTACATTTTATTTGTGTGTGTGTGTGTGTGTGTGTGTGTGTGTACATGTGTATGACTGAGGGTGTGTGAGGTCAAAGGGACACTTCCAGGAGTCGG